GGGGGGGGAGGCTCCGACCCTTTGTGTCCCGGAGCAAGTTCAGAGGACACCACCACCACACCCCGCCGCCGGCCCAAGCCCGGCCGACACCACCACCGCGACATCCGGGAAAATAAAACTTTGCCTGACGAGACGCCCTCCTCGGCCCGACCGGACAGCGTCCTCGTCGCCGTCGCCCCCCGTCGGCGCCGAGCTCGGCTGGCGCGGCCAAATCACGGCCATTTAGGACGCCCGAAAGGCGACGTGCGACAGAGACAGAGTTTTATGAAGCTCGGGAGATGAACATGTCGCTCAGACCGGCTCATGGCCCATGGCCTGTGGGCCCCGGGCCCCGCCCCAGGAGGTCTTAGCGAGGGTGCACTCCTGCTGCTGATGGCCGTGTTCACTGTTTTGGCGTCGCTGTGTCCTGTGTCCTCCTCTGACAGTGTAACTCCTTCCATGCGCAGGCTAGGACTGCGCCTGCTGCTCGGCACCGTGCCCGTGGACCAGGCCCTGGACCTCCTCGTCAGGGAGGCCACCCTCGGCTGGAGCGGCATGAACTGCGGCAAGCTCTTCCCCAGGTGAGTCTCGTCTCGTCCAGTCGCGCCGTCCACGACCCAAGGCGCGGATTAAGGGGAGGGGGGAGGGTGCGATCGCCCCCCCCCCCTCCCTGTCGTCTCTAGACGGCCGCCTGAAATGTAGGCAATTGCGGCACAAAACCCCTGTATGTAGGCAACCGACAGCCGACAGTGCATCGCCTCCCGTGTCAGCTGTACCTTAATCCGCGCCTGCGCGACCTGCGGGGTCGGGGACACCTCTCCGTCATGCGGCCCGTGACGGCCTGGCAGGTCGCAGCTGCCGTCGTCGGGGTGGTCGGTCGGCAGGCCGCGAGGCGCACTCGAGCCACTGAGCCGCAACACCATCGGCGAGATGAGGAGGAGAGCAGCAGGCCCGGCCCGGCGCAGCGTGCAGCGCCTCCGAGCTGCGAGTGCTCCTAATTTCCCCATCTTCGGAACCAGCCTATTGGCAGCTCGTTCTGTCGAGCTGACCGCCCCGCCCCGCCGCACCTCCCGCCCGGCGAGCCGCCCGGGTCGCAATCAGCGGCCATTGCAGGGCATTGCAAGCTAAAAGGCAATCGCCTGGCCGGGCGTTGTTGCAGGCCGCTGGCCGGGCGGGCGGGGCGCGGCGCAACCTGAATAGATCCTCAAGAAAAGGCTCTCTGCGTTTGAAAGAAAGCGCCGCACTGAGCGGGGCGGGGCGGTGCAGGGCGCCGCGTGCCCATGCGCGTTTCCCCGGGTTGACCCGTCCAACTGACACGAAACGGGATCACGTCAGCGAGCTCGGGCTGACGGCCCCGTAGGCCCGTGGGCCGCCCGGTAGACTGCCGCGGTGGGCGGCGAGCGGTCCACAATAAGTCGCCCAATGAGGGCGCAATCAGCGCTTTACGGAACTCATCACAAGCCGGCGCTGAGCGCGGCGACCTTTCGCACTCATCAGTCTCACCGCAGTCCTCCTGCCCGGCCGCCGTCCCGCTCGCGAAGCACGCTCGCGTCGATAATTGCATTACTCTCTATTGTTTGGGGCCTGACTCCCTTCCCGCCCGTCCGTGCGTGTCCGTCTGTCCGTCCGTCCGTCCGTCCGTACGGACGGAGGAGAGCGTAATGAGGGTCGGCCGCGGGCAGATGATGAACCTCCTGTCCGTCCGTCCGTCCGTCCGTCCGTGTTCGTGTTCGTGTTCCCGCGCGCGTTTCTCGCGGAAAACGTTTTATCCATAAAGCGTCGTGCCGCCCGGTCTCTCTCCCCTAGTTTCCCCGGGGGTTGCGCGCCGGCCGGCCGCCGGATATCACAACAAATCTATGACACTTTCCTCCGGCGCGGAGCCCAGGCGGAGCCCCGCTAGCGGCAGCTGGCCGTCAGATGGCGCGGCCGAGCGTCCCGGCGCTACCGGGGGCGTCATGGGGCATAACAGCAGGACGAGGACGCAAAAGCGGCTCAAGTTTCGCCAATAAAAGTTGGACTCGGTTCGGCAAGTAAACGGTTAGCGGGGGACTCCGACGCGACATGCCCGCCCCTCGTTTTCCCCTTTCACTACTCGTTCTCCACGGACACCAGAGGCGAGAACGTGGTGAAGCGGTACACGGCCGAAACTAAAGTTCCAAAGTACACCAGACGTACAGACGTGTGTTCGGGTGAGGTACATGATTTTTGTATGCACTGTGTTCGAGTAAATTAGGTTGGTATCACTCAAAAGATGATGTATGTGCATTGAAAACTACTTAGTTGGTACAACTAAATCAGAGTTGTGCGTGTAAGAAACAAAATTTAGTTACTGAAACCGATTGAAAATACAGTAACCCCATTTATATCTAAATATGGTCGCACCAATCAAACTAAGTCAGCTTAACTATATTATTTCATCGCCAGGCAGAAAATTTGGTTAACAGAGCCAAAATTTCATCGCTTTTGAATTTGGGTCTCTGAACCTAACGGTCTTCTGGGAGTGTGTTGTTGCTTCACCAACTGATTGCAAAGAGGAGCTTCATTCTGTTTTGATTGTAGAGGACCGGATACAAATTTAAAAATAACGAGTATTTTTTTTTATATTTTTCTCAAACACCCTGGCGATCGATCTGAAGCAGCGTAGGGGTTCTTTCCGGTCAGCCAAGCCGAGGCGCCGCGCGCGCCGCAGCTGCAGCAGCTGGCCGAAGGTGTTGGGAGGAGGTAGGAAAGGGGGGGGGGGACTTAACTTATTTCGGGGGAGACAATCTGTCATTGTGAGCGGGGCCCATCCATTGCCCATCGGACGGTGCCAGGCCGGAAAACAAATCGGCCCGGTCGGGCTAGGCGGATGAGTAATGAAGAGAAGAGCGCGGGACTTCGCAGCCGCGCAAGACGCGAGGGATGAGAGCAGGGGACTAGCCGGGAGTAGGTGTGCCGGCGCCCGGCAGCTGTTCGATAGGATCGAAGATCTCTCGCTGCGTTCAGTTAGCACAGCGGTGGGAGACGTGCCGGCGCGCGGCCCGCTGTGATTGGCGGGTCGTCGGGTCGTAAAGGCCGTCCTGCTCCTACCTGGAAGTGAAGCCCCGCTCAGTTAGGGATCGCGCGGGGTCGCACTATACTATACGGCTGCTTGATCTGGGTCGCGGCGAGAGGCGCGCCTTCCTTTGGCGTACAAACCACTGCTGTGCGACGCCTGCCTTCCCATGGCCGCGAAACAACCATGCAGGCTGACCTTGGTTCAAAATAAATTCACAATCATCAATTAGTACTATTTTGATACTACTACTAAAATATCTTCAAACTTGAAAGAAATTTCTCTTTAAAAAATATATTACTGAATAAATGGAAGGTAGCTAAGTGACGCAGAGTCATCACACACCCGGCTCCTGCAGTCTGCTCACGGTGTACACGCGAAACTGAATCCCGCAGCGCAGAGCTGCTGGTCGGCGAGCCCGGCCCGGCCCAGCCCGGCAGCGGGAGCACCACTACACTACACTGCACACTACACGAGGGAGAGAGAGGGCGCGCCAAACTCCAGTGCACGCGGTAGCATTACACGGTTGAATGTCAGCAGGATGGTAGTCTATTGCCTTCCTCTCGCTGCCTCCACCGCCCCTCCGCCCTCCCCTCCCTCCCGACCATCCGAGAGGGAATCTGTTCCATGCTCCGCAGGGCTTCATGGGCTTCCACCAATCACCACTTTAGAGGATCCCAAACGCCAAATTGATAGCTCCCTGTCCCATTTCGCGCCGACTCGACTCAAGCCGACTGTTTGGAATGGCATGCCGTCTCTCTACGCGGGGCCGGGGGGCCGGGGCCAGCACCGGCACGCCTCGAGCGCCTGGGAGGTAGGCAGCCGGCCTACAGCGCTGTCGCCGCGCGGCCTACCCGTCCGCCGCCCGCCGGCACCAGACAGCCGGGTAATACGATTTCTCTGTTCGCTTCGTCCCGCCTAGCCACCACTTTGTCCTGTCCCAGTGTCCCACCCGTTGATGTGCAAACAAATAGGGCGGGGCAGTCGCACAAGGCGAGCAGCTGGCACGCTATACCCGGTGTTTGAGCGGCGTGAGGGGCACGGGCGGGACGACTGGCGTCCCACTCAGTTAAGAAGACGAACGGGCGGGCGGACTTCACTACTGGGGCCCTACTCAGTTACGGGTGAGGAAGAACGGGCGGGCGGAGGGTACCGGCCTGCTGTTATGACAATGGTGACTCGGGGTGGCACTCCTCGTGGCGATAACAGAACAGGGCTCCGGGGAATTGCAGCTGACAAGAACGGGGTGGACGGTCCAGCACGGACAGGCGGACGGGTGGGGGGACGGGCGGACCGACTGGACGCTTTACTGGGAGTCCACGAGCCGGTGGGGCTGCTGCGGGCGTAGGGGGGCCCTTTGTGGTGACCCCCCCGCGACAAGAGGGTCAGGGGGCTCGCGGCAGCGCACACGGGCGTCATGGACAGCGCGCGGGAGGTGCGCGCGAGTCGTGAGGGAGGAGCGAGAGGGATCGGTTCCAGCTCCCTCGAGCTTTGTCACTGTCTCGCTCACAGGCCCGGCCGGCGGTGGCAACGGCCCTTCACAGAGCGTAACGTTTCTCCCAGGAATTTGAATACCGAAGCGGCCTCCGCGCCCCGCCCGGCCCCGACCGGCCCGGCCCGCAGCGCCAGTAACGAGCGAGGGCCGGACAAAAACACGCAAAAGTCACAAAACGTGGCGTGGCGTCCTTAAGGACGTTTCACAAAACGTGCGGGCGGGGACGGGACCACAGCGGGCCGGCCCGAAGAAGGGGGCGAAAAGAGAGCGAAATAAAAAATAAAAATAATGAGAAGAATAATAGTAATTGTGTTTTGGCTGCGAGTCGCTATGCAGCTTTCATCAAAACGACGACGACGACATGCAATGCACCCCCCCCCCTCTCCCCCTTTCCTCCGCAGCCACCGCCCGCTGCGAGGCTTGTCGTCCACATCAAGAAGATATAGTGGAGTATAGTAGGAAAAGAACATAACCACTACCATAATTCGTAATTTTCTCAAGGTGAATTAATACTCGGCCGTAAAAGAAAAGACTGCCCCCTCCCATGCTTCAGCTCAGCGGCTCGTCCCGGTTCTATCAATTGTCCTGCGTTCGTTATTTTTTCCCCGCCTCTCTCTCTCTCTCTGTCTGTCTCTGAAGGAGCAATCAGGCATTACGTTGGAGCCCCCCCCCCCCTCCTACTCCGTCGGGACCGGCAGGGACTGCGGCCTTTCTTTCCGTCCGCCTAGTTCGGCCCACTGACCAGCAGCGCACCGATTGCCCACTTTGCGGGCAATAATGAAAGGCTAACGCGTCCGGTCCTCCCTAATCCTGGAGCTGAGCGGAGCTGAGCTGAGCTGAGCGGAGCTGAGCTGAGCTGAGCGGAGCTGAGCGGAGCTGAGCGCCTCCGCGGGCGGCACGGTGTGACTCAACGTACAAGTTACAGTGTCGGTACGATACACATTCTCGCGCACACCTCGTATTCCATAAAATAAGAAAAACCGCAACACTATTATTGATACGGCGCATGTTTTGTTTGCGAGCCGCAGTCGCTGCTACGAGTTTAATTCCAT